GGGCACACCAAGAAAAGCCCTTCCTCCTCATCCTCAGGGGCATGAGCAGCTCTCCTGCTCTCCTCCCAATGCCCCTCCTCATCCTCAGGGACGTGAGCAGCTCTCCTGCTCTCCTCCCAATGCCCCTCCTCATCCTCAGGGGCATGAGCAGCTCTCCTGCTCTCCTCCCAGTGCCCCTCCTCACCCTCAGGGACGTGAGCAGCTCTCCTGCTCTCCTCCCAGTGCCCCTCCTCATCCTCAGGGGCATGAGCAGCTCTCCTGCTCTCCTCCCAGTGCCCCTCCTCACCCTCAGGGACGTGAGTAGCTCTCCCCCTCTCCGACACACACTCCTCAGCTCTTAATGAACTTCCCAACCCAGTTTCTCCTCCCTGGGAAGCTCTCTTCCCTGGGAAGCTCAGTGCCAGTCCCCCTGACCGCGGGCAGGTGCCATCTGGACCCGCTGCTTGGCGTGTGATTAGTTTGCAGCCGTTCCCTGACCTATTTTACACAAACAGCCGCGGCTGAAACACCAACGTTTCATTGCACCTGACATGTTTTCCTGCCCTTTTCCCTCACACTTTTTCAATGAAAATAATTGAGCCAGTCAATCACAGGCTCGGAGTCCAACGGAGAAGAATTTAGGCTGGCAGGGACCTTCGGAGGTCACCTAATCCAAAACTTGTCCCACAGCAAAGACGGTCACTTTTCTCATTAATTAATTAACTTTCTCGTCATCACCGTTCACGTGAGGAATTTTCAGGCTTTTCCCCGTGTCCTTCCCAGCTCTTAAGCCTTCCCCCAAATTCTAAGCAGCTGTTTCTAACTATCAGCAACCGCTGAGAAAAGGAGGGATAAAGGATGTTTTGGGCCCAGGTTTCTGGATTCACAGCCACTTCCAAGAACCAAGCTCAGCACTTGCTGCCTGCTGCAAATTCCACAAGAACTGATTCCAATTGTCTTTCAGTCATCTCAGGATTTTCACAGAATCCCAGGATGGTTTGGGTTGAAAGGGACTTTAAAGCCCTTTCAGTTCCAACCATGACATCTCCCACTATCCCAGGTTGCTCCAAGCCCGGCCAACCTGGCCTTGGACACTTCCAGGGATCCAGGGGCAGCCACAGCTTCTCTGGGCAACCTAGGCCAGTCCCTCACAGCCAAGATTCTCTTCCTGAAGTCTTTTTTCCCCTGCTGGCCCAATGACTGTACCTTCTGTGGAGGGACACGTGCTGAGAATGAACTCTTCCCTCCACTGACAGCTCTGGATCAATAAACTTCTCAGGATAATTCAAGAAAACAAATGTCGATTTTATCCCTGATCTGAAGCTCAGTTTCATGTGGCATTTATCACATGGTGATGTCCCCACCAGAGAGGGACAGAAGAGGTGACACAAGGGAAAAGGCTGAAATCCCAAATATCCCTTCATAAAGCAAATACAACCAGAAGAGCTGCTCCTGTTCCTCACAGGACCTTCAGTGTGGGGCAGCTCCGTGACCGTTGTCACTGCAAGGCAGGGAATGTCCCCTCCTTGCACCAATCCCAGTTAATGGCCAGGGAAGGGTCTCTGGAATGGAGCAGCCTCCAGGATGCAAAGAGAGAGGAAGAGGTGAGGGTTTTACAGCAGAGCTTTGCAGAGCTGCTCATGACTCCTGCCCGAGGGTCTGGTTAACTCCTGATCTTGGCAGCCTGAGCCACACTGGATGAACAGCCTGGTTGGCCCCGGGAGGAAAGCAGAGCTCTGCCACTCCCCAAACCCAAACCGGCGGCACCGGGAAAACCCACCAACCTCTCCCCCCCAACACAGCCCTGGGCTCCCCAGCGAGGCACAGAGGGAGAAAAGGGGCAGGAAGAAAGATCCAACTCACCAACATCGGACTCTTTGTGGGTTTTGATGATCTCAGCCAGCTCGAAGTTGCCCGCAATGATGGCCACCTGCAAAGACACGGAGGGAGGAGGGTTGAGCGGCTCCGAGCGGCCCCGGCGCCAGGGGCGATGCCACATGGGCTGCCAACAGCTGCTTCCCGTGGGGAAGGAGCCAACAATCCTTCTGCCTCAGCTCCCCCAGCCAGCAGCCCCGAGGAGGAACCCCCTGGCCCCGCGGGGCGAGCGTATGCCGAGGGCTCGTGCGGCGGGAGGGCGGCCAACGGGCCCGGGGAGGGACAGGGACGGTGCCCTCTGCTCGGGGTCTGGGGGTGACACACCAGCCACCGGCCAGGAATCAATCCTGCGGGCCCTGACAACGTGTTCCCCGGCCTGAAGCTCTCCAGTGATCCCGGTTGGAATCACACAGTTGTTAAGGTTGGGAAAGGCCTTTAAGATCATCGAGTCCAACCGTCAACGCGGCGTCACCGCCGTGTTCAGCACTTATCCGTGTCCCCAGGTGCCACAGACACGGGGCTTCTGAGCACTTCCAAGGCTGGGGAGTCCACCACTGCCCTGGGCAGAGTGTTCCTGATGAAAGGGGACTTACCAGCAGCCAAGCCCCCCCCCAAGGTCCACAGAAACAACTCACGGCCTCTCTCAGACAAGGAGCCCCTTCCATTCGGGCATTGGCAGCAGCAGCTCCCCCCACTAAAACCACAGTGTTCATCAAACATTGCTTTTCCCACCACTCCACAGGAAGAAAATCCCAAAGGGACAAGGTTCTTGGAGAACCCAAAAGAACAGGGAAAGAGGGGAAGCTGAACGTGGGTCTGCAGGCAAAACAGACAGAGCTGGTCTGTCCTGCTCTGGGAAGGGATTCCACGGGTGTTCCTGTCCTGGGGAGCTGCAGGACACCAGCAGCCTTCCCAGAAAGGGTGGGGAGGCCTTGGCAGGGGTTGCCCAGGGAGGTTTGGA